AAAAAAAAAAAAAAAAAAAATGAAATGAGATTAAATTGAAAGAGAATTTTCCATTGAAGGAATTTTTTTAGAAAATTTTGGAAAAGATTGTGAAAATTAATAGTTTTTTTGGTATGTTTTCAATTTTGCTCATTTAAATGTTTGATATTTAGTTTAATGAATATATGTGTCAACGATTTTGCTATGAAGTCAACAGTTGACTTTATAGTGGAGTCAACCTTCTATATACGACAAATAAACCTACCATATTAATAGAATTATATTAATTTTATTTAAGTAATCAAAGAATATGTTAGGTTTATTTGTCGTATATAGAAGGTTGGCTCCATAACAAAACCGATTGACACATACAGTTTTGCTATGAAGCCAACAGTTGGTTATAATGGAGTCAACCTTGTATATACAACAAGTAAATTATATTATATCATCTGATTACAATTTTGCTATAGAGCCATCGGATGGCTCGACTTATGGAGCCATCCACAGTTATTCACAAATAGTGTATTGACACGTGTCCTATAATAAATGCACTTTGGACAAGTGTCAATACACTAAGTCATGGATGGCTCCATAAGAAAACCATCCGATGGCTCCATAGAATTTTTGCATCTGATTACTTAAATAAATACTAATAATTTTATTAATATGGTATGATTTACTTGTTGTATATAGAAAGTTGTCTCCACTATGGAGCCAACTGTTGGCTTCATGCCAACTAGCTTTTTACAAAATCTTAAATGAAAGATTGTACCCTTAAAAAAAAATATGTGAATGCTATTGGTTACCAACTATCTTTTATAAAAGCTAAATGGAACGAAAGTAGAATTACCATGTGGACAACATATATAAGTTGAGAGAGATTCTATTGTCTCATTACGGAACTATTCCGTTGGGGTTGTTAGATCAACTATCCACGACGGTTACATGATGATCTAACGGTTATAAATCCTGACGGAATGATTCCGTAACGAGACTGTAGCATTTCTCATAAGTTGAAAGAGTGAATGGTTATTGTTTAAATGAATAAATACCATTTTCTTATAACTTGAGTCTTGATATGACAAATCATCCATTATCTTCAACCATAAATTTATCAAAATCAACAATCTACATCGTATCAACACGGTAGCATTCCATGCTACCCATGTAGGTAGTGCCCCCATGGGCTTTTTTACCACAAATTTAACACACATCTATATGGGTGTGTGTGTCTGAGTGTGTGTGTGAATATGTGGTCAAAAAGCTCATGGGGGCACTACCCACATGGGTAGCATCGACCTTACCTATCAACACATAATTCTACAATCCAATATGACAAAATTGATCAAACTCGTATAACTTTTAACTCGCAATCATCATTGTATATTGAAACCCCAGCGAGCGCACTAGCTCAGTTGAAAATAGGGATGAACATGAGCCGGTACGGTTCGGAAATTGAAAAATCTTCGGAACCGTGTCAATCTTCGAATCGTATCGAAGTTCGGAGGTTACTAAAATTCAATTACCAGATTCGTACCAAAAATTGGTTCGGTTCGATTCGGTTCAGATATTTTCATTTTGGTTCGATTCTCGGGGCTATCGGAACGGTTCGATTCGATTCGGTTCGTATATTCAGAAACTTCTAATTATTTTTTAAATATTTTTGAATGGCCACACTAGATGTATTTTATTTTTTATATTTTTTTAAATCCAACATTCATCAATACTTTATCATATTAAAGATTTTTTTTTTTAAAATCAATCGAAGATATAACTCTAAATTTTAGTTAATACTAAATTTGTGCAACTTACATTGAAAATTCAAAATTTAAATAAAATATAATATAGTTTTTTATTAAAGTAATATTTCTTTAATCCTCCATACCATGTTAATTATAAGATATAATAACACTAGTATCGACAAATTTAAGCAATGTTTAAATTTTTCTTTTAAGTATTTCTTCAATTTTTCATACTATTTTAAATATTTTTTTTTCTTAAACCAGGAAAATTCAAGTGTAGATCTCAAGTATTACTAAACATGAAAATTTAAGTGAATCTTAATTGTTATAACTATATTTTATTTCCATTTTAAAATTTTTCAAATTATATAGAATTAATGTTGACATAAAAAGTAGGGAATTTTTTTTTTCACCCCAATACAAAGATGCATTAAGTTTTTCACACCACCTACCAACAATATAACTTTTTCACCCCGAGAAGTGCGAAGGTTATGCGAATGGACCGCATAACTGTCGCATATCAATTGCATAATTGTCGCATATTCATCGCGCAATACCTTCGCACTTTAACTTTTTCCACCCCAGAAAGTGCAAAGGGATATGCAAATGCCTTCGCACTTTTAACTTTCGCACAATGTCATCGCGCAACTATCGCATATTCATCGCGCAATGCATTTCGCACTTCCTGGGGTGAAAAAGTTAACTTATCTACTGACGGTGCGAAAAAACTTAATACATTTTCACTAGTACTGACCCGTGCGATGCACGGTATGGTATATTTATCTGTTTTTTTTTAATGTAAATGTTGACGAGCGTTTTCGGTCAACGGTTAAGATAAAGAATGTCGAAAGCAAAAGACTGAAAATGGAAGGATGGTTCAGTTTAATTATGACTTTATTAAGCGATCACGAGGTCGGCCTCTCGTACGAGGTCGGCCTCTCGTACGAGGTCGGCGCTTGCGATATACTTACAATCCTTACAATGAGTTTCTTACAGTTTTAGAGTGAGAAAGTAGAGAGAAGGCAGAGTTAGTTGAATTTCAACAACCCAAAATAAATGAAATGAGCTGCTATTTATAGTAGTCTTTAATGTGGCACTATTCAACTACTGTTCACCGGTCTTGTCACACAGTGATTTTGAAAAGCAGTTCGGCGTCCGTCTGACATGTATTTAATGCGATTTGAGGTTTCTTCAATCATTACCTGTCAGACATTAAATTCCAGCATGGGGGGCATTTAATGCTGGTAGGCTTTATTGATTTAGGCTTAATGGTAGGGTGCTAGGCCATGATTACTTGTCCCATCGTCCAATGATGGTCTCCCGAGTGGGAATATTTTAATGCTCATCGAAGCCTGCGCTTTCCCTCTGGTCGGCCTCCTCAGATTTTCAGGCCGGCACCTCATTCGAAAGTGTTCACGAGACTGCAAATAGTCTTCTTTCCGTCCAGCACCCCTTCAGGCCGGCCTTGGTCCGGACTGAGCCAGGTGCCGGGCTGAGAGAACGTTCCTATGGCGGCTCTACACATCTTTAATCCTCGGTTCAGCTCGGCACTTCTTCACCAGACCGGGTCTTCAGCTCGGTCCTGAGAGGTTCAGTATCCGGTTCAATCCAGTCCAACTCGGCTATCAACATACAGGCCCCCGGGCTCGGAGAAGAGGTTTTTTCCAACATCTTGTCCGAGGTCGTTACTCTAATGTTCAGTCCCGAGTTTGCCGATTTTCACCCCGACGTTTCTGATTCCCTTGAGTCACATTTTCCCTGTTCCAGGTACATTGATGACGCGAGCTGAAGCGACGCGTCCATCAATGCGATGTGGCCGTTGCCCTTCTTGTCGGCCATGAAAAGTCGTGCCGTTTCAGGGTCTTTTACACGTGTCCTCGTTCGATTGGCCCGCGTGGCGCGTCACGTTACTTCAGTGGAAAGGGCGGTTACTCTGCCGCGTGGCCCCCACGCGCCCGTTCGTGAACCGTCGGATGGTTTTGATCGCGACCGTTCGATCTGGGCAGTTGACTATTTAATTTTTGAATTTCAAACGGTGCCACGTGGTCTTCCCTGATTGGACCGAACATTATATATATACTCATCGTCGTCTTCCTCCAGAAGTTTTACCTTCTGCAATTTCTCGAACGCACCTTCGAACAACCAGCAAGACAGTTTTCGAACATCCTCGAAGTTCCTCGCAAACCGGCGTTTCAAGGCTTCATACTGGTAATCCGACTGTCCCTTTCATCTTTTTTCTTTTTAATATGTCGAGTCTTCCGAATTTCGCGGCGTCTTCCGGCGAGGGCGAGAGGCAAACGGTGGAAGAGACCGGCGAGATCGTGGTTTACTCTCCACCGGCGGCGGAGACGACATAACCTCTCCGAGTTACGCCGATTACGGCTGTTCGGGTGTCCCGGCCGTCGATGGCGGCGACTGACCCACCAGGGGAGATGTCCCCGCAGATCCCGGTGGTCAATATTGTCGACCTCAGTTCTAGCCAGTCCGACGGCGGGGCTAATGTTACCCTGGACGGCGGGCTTTCTGACAGTGACTTGGACGTCGACCCCGGCCTGGTCGAGGAGACCCTTCAAGGTGAGACTGGCGGACGGGAACGGGTCCCCATGGGGCTAGGCGATGCTGAGACCGATGCCGCCGTTGATGCCGCGACCTCGGCCCCGCCCGGGAGCTGGCGTCGTCCTCCTCGCTCATGGCCAACTGCCACGAAGATGTCGGCCTGGAACACCCCGTCTATTTTGGGGGACGTCGATCTGGTCAAGTTGCGGGGCAAGGTGAGCTTCGGCCCCGACATTTATATCTTCGCCCCGTACGCCGGTGAGCGTATCCATTGTCCTCCGCCGGGCTGCATCGGGGTCTATCGCCACAGCGTCCATCTCGGACTCCGATTTCTTTTGCCCGGCGTCTTGAGTGATGTTCTGAGCGACCTTGGCATCGGGATCAGTCAGCTCGTACCCACGGCCTTTGCGAGGTTGATGGGTCTGATTG